ATGTCTACATCCACACCAACCCAGTAAATATCAAACTATTTTATACAGAAACTCGCGATTAACAGCACAATGTAATATGTGTCCTATTCTTCATTTTATTTTGAATGATTTTCCAAAAAAAAAGAATATATCTCAATCGATCATCTTGATTGTTACACATAAAAAGCATATGGATCACATATTGTGAATCCAACATCAATTTTCAGTATAAGTTAGAAGTTACATGACCTGTTTAGTTGAGCAACTATTCTGTGAATGAAACAAAACACAAATAAACTCAAAATGAAAAGAACAGACGAATAATCGGACAAAAGAGTAATAAAGGAATAATCTTCTTTTCCCTTTCTCTGTGGACTGAACGGACAGAAAAAAAAAAGACAAGAAGAAAAAAATTCTTTTACATGAGGACGGATGATGAACTCTGTTTCTATGTGATATTGAAAAGTAGATAAAATATAAAATAGTTAATTTTTGAAACTTTTATTGAAAACTCTAACTCATTTTACAATTATAAGCTATACGAGAATGAGATAACTTGTTTATCTTGGTTGAACATGCTTGTTACTCATACGTACTTGCAGGGGTGTCTCGATCCCGGGAGCAAGATGCCCCCCCAATCATAAGAATTTTTTATTAAGAAATTACAGAAAGTTCTTGAGGAAACGAAGAAAAAAATTTCAAAAAATTAGAATTTTTTCTCGGAAAACCTAGATCAAAAGTAAAAGTACATTAGGCATGATAAAATGATATTAGTCATCCACTGGAAGATTAACATTCCTCTGTAGATGTCATTACACAATAAGAAGGTAAGCGTCAATATATTTCCACAGTGTATTGGTGCTGAGACGATAACATATCTGCTTGGTCGATACTTTTTATTTTATCGTCTTGTCTTTATCATTAGTTCTGATTAGAAACTATTGAAAAAGTGTGTGAGTTGCTTTATATCGTAACTTCGTCTATTTCTTCTTTTTGTATCTTTAAATATACACATCATCTCATATTGCAATTGTAGACAAAAATTGGTCAAAACGTAAACAAAGTT